TTATAAATTACCTAGTCTCGGGTATTTCTTTGAAGCAGTGTGAGAATGAACTAATACATGGATCAAGAAGTCTAGAAAAGCTCGATGACCAAGAAATGGGGTACAAATCTAGGAGAAAGATTTCAGTTAGCCTTTTTCCTGAACCAAAGAAAATGCTAACATTAAATTTCCCAGTGCCTGGTTTCTAAGCCATTTTTAACCTATCTGCTGATTGGGTGGATTTCATAAATCTAATAACCCCTGTTGGCCCTGGTCAAATACAAATAACCCCAGCACACTTAACTCATCCTGAGGTCCCTTCTCCTGGCTGTCTCCACAGCAGGGACTGAGTCCTGTCTCAGGGTCTGCCTTCTTGGATTCCCCTCTGGAAGCAGAGGCTCCTCATCTCTCCAGGGCTACTGGAAGCCACAGAGTAGCTTGCCAACACTTGGGAATCTCCACTTGCAGATCTGACTTCAGCATCTTTGAAATAGTGAGGGGTCGATTATGTAGGACTTCATTTAATAATCTCTCCAATGCTCTATTTTTCTTCCCTACAGCTTATTGTTTTAGCATGATGACTCCATACAATCACCGCTGTAGCCAACATCTTAGACCATTCATTCTGTGGGCTGTCCTTTGTCCTGGCCTGAGCCTAACTAGTGACAACTCTCAAGAGAACTCTCACTTCTTTTAAAATAAAAGCAGTGGTTGGGTTTCTTCCTCAAAGAATTCTAATTTATAACATTACATTCTTTTTATTTTATTACACTTTAAGTTCTAGGGTACATGTGCACAACGTGCAGGTTTGTTACATATGTATACATGTGCTGTGTTGGTTTGCCACACCCATTAACTCGTCAGTTACATTAGGTATTTCTCCTAATGCTATCCCTCCCCCATCCCCCCACCCCACGACAGGCCCCAGGGTGTGATGTTCCCCACCCTGTGTCCAAGTGTTCTCATTGTTCAATTCCCACCTGTGAGTTTGAACATGTGGTGTTTGGTTTTCTGTCCTTGGGATAGTTTGCTCAGAATGATGGTTTCCAGCTTCATCCATGTCCCTGCAAAGGACATGAAGTCATCCTTTTTTATGGCTGCATAGTATTCCGTGGTGTATATGTGCCACATTTTCTTAATCCAGTCTATCATTGATGAACATTTGGATTGGTTCCAAGTCTTCACTAGTGTGAATAGTGCTGTAATAAACATACATGTGCATATGCCTTTATAGTAGAATGATTTATAATCCTTTGGGTATATACCCAGTAATGAGATTGCTAGGTCAAATGGTATTTCTAGTTCTAGATCCTTGAGGAATCGCCACACGGTCTTCCACAATGGTTGAATTAGTTTACACTCCCACTAACAGTGTAAAAGCATTCCTATTTCTCCACACCCTCTCCAGTATCTGTTGTTTCCTGACATTTTAATGATTGCCATTCTAACTGGTATGAGATGTACACCATTACACTCTTTTCTTCTCTAATTTAAAGATTAGGGGGAGGGAATGAAGTGGGGGAAGGAAAAAACTAACCACATGATGCAGAGTCAGTTACTGAAGATGGAAAGAACTTCATCCTCAAGTTTTCCTGAGGGCAGTAGAGTCCAGACTATCTCAACATGCCTTACCCCTGAGTGTGTTTGGGGGGCAGTTTTGGTGTGAATTCCTTCTCTGGTTCACATGGACTGTTCTGTGATCATGATCAGGGCAAGGACAAGGGATTTCCTATTCACCTGGAGGACATGTGCTCCTTTGGGAAGGCCCATCTGTAGGTAAAGCAGTTTGTCCACCAGCAGCTGCAACTTCAATTATCTAACATGAACCTGTTTCTTAGTCCCCCTCTCACCTCTGAAGTCTTGGAGTCTCACTGTCACCTGTAAAACCTAAAAATAATACACTCATGACTAGGCCCCCAATGCTGGAAAATAAAATGCAGTAGGTGTGGAGTAGAGCTGAGCATCTGCACTTTCTTTAAAAGTTCCACGGGGGCTTCTGCTGTGCTCCCAGACTTGAGACCTGGACTTCAGAGTGTGGTCAGGAGACTCAGGCACCCCTGAGAGGAGCCCTGCTTCCTACACCTCCTACCTTCCAGATGATCCAAGTCCATATTAGAGATAAGCAACAGTGGTGAGAGAAATAAACAGGGCTCATCCTCTTTGTAGTCATTTCCTCTTTCTGTTGTAATAAATTACCATAAATTTAGTAGCTTATAACAACACAAATCTATTATCTTATTGTTCTGGAGATGAGAAGTCCAGAATCAGTCTCAGGGAGCTAAAACCAAGGTGTCGGCTCTAGGAGGCTCTACAGGAGAATCTGTTTCCTTGCCTTTTCCAGCTTCAGCTTCCAGAAGCCACCTGCATGCTTTGCCCTGTGACCCCCAGCCAGCCATCCCATGATTCCATCTTCTCCTCCCTCCCTCTTTCACTTTTTTTTTTTTTTTTTTTTTTTTTTGAGAAGGAGTCTCGCTCTATCGCCCAGGCTGGAGTGCAGTGGCCCATCTCGGCTCACTGCAAGCTCCGCCTCCCAGGTTCACACCATTCTCCTGGCTCAGCCTCCCAGTAGCTGGGACTACAGGCGCCCGCCTCCTTGCCCGGCTGGTTTTTTTTTTTTTTTTTTGTATTTTTTAGTAGAGATGGGATTTCACCGTGTTAGGATGGTCTTGATCTCCTGACCTCATGATCTGCCCGTCTCGGCCTCCCAAAGTGCTGGAATTACCGGCTTGAGCCACCGCGCCCGGCCCTCCCTTTTTCCCTTCTAAGGACCCTTGTGATTACATTGGATTGTCCTACCAGGATAATCCAGAATCATCTGCCTCATCTAAAGATCCTCCACCTAATCACATCTGCAAAGTCCCTCTTGCGGTGTAAGATATCATATTCATGGGCTCCGGGGGTTAGACATAGACATGTTTAGGGTTAAGGGGCATTACTCTGCTTACCACACTCCTCTTCGAGGAATGTTGGGGTTTGATATGGTTTGTATCTGTGTTGCCACCCAAATCTCATGTCAAATTGTAATCCCCAGTGCTGGAAGTGGGGCCTGCTGAGAGGTGAGCTGATCATGGGGCCGGAGTTCTCACGAATGGTTTAGCACCATCCCCTTTCCCCCTTGGTACTGTACAGTGAGTGAGTTTGAAAGGACACAAAGATAGATGTGTACCCGCCCCCCGCGCTACACCCTTTGTTCTGCTCTCTAATCTTTGCACATACCAGAGATTTTGTTTTGCACATACCAGAGATTTCATAAGTTCTGTGAGTATCTGTTTTTCTGCACGTACCAGAGATTTTGTAAGTTCTGAGGCAAGGTCACAAGACGTGTTTAAGTAAGATAAACTCTTGCTGCCATAAACCTGCTCTCCCGCCTCAAAGGTTGAACCGAAATATCAGAAATGGCGGGAACCAATCATAGTTAGCCAAATCGCCTTGTTCAAATACTAGCCAATCATATATCTGATTTGTATAATAACTCTATGCCCACTTTTCTTAGACTATATAACACTGCTCGGAGCTCAGTGGGGGAGCTCTCCTGCCCGTCTCGTTTCGCAAGCGAATGAGAGTTCCAGGTTCGAACCTGTAATAAAGATCCTTGCTGCTTAGCTTTGACTCTGGACTCTGGTGGTCTTCTTCGGGGAATAAACGGTCTGGGCATAACAAGTTCTCACAAGATCTGTTGTGTCAAAGCGTGTGGCACCTCCCCGCTGCTCTCTCTTCCTCCTGCTCCAGCCACGTAAGATGTGCCTGCTTCCCCTTCACCTTTCGCCATGAGGAAAAGCTTCCTGAGGCCTCCCCGGAAGCAAAGCAGAAGCTAGACTGCAGAACCACGAGCCAATTAAACCTCTTTCCTTTATAAATTACCTAGTCTCGGATAATTTATGTCTATCCAGTTAGATAGCAGACGTTTGCCAGAGGAGTCACTCATTATCAAAGTCCCAAAAACATTTTTGGCTTTAGTAGTCTGCTCTTTCTGCTTGCCACTTATTTCCCCTCCTGCTTTTCCTGGTTAATGGTCCTCTCCTATTTCATCTTGCCTTGTTTTTGCAGATACACAGTTCTGGATGAGGCACAATGCTCATTCCTACATGAGACAAGTGCACTGCATTTGGCATGCACAAAAGAGAAATAATTTCAGAGCATAAGTTTACAAACTTTGTGTAAAATAAGCTTGGGAAACTCTACAGCCAAATATTGTCAATCAGCATTCCTGGCACGTTTGCTCATTAAATGCTATGCAAGTCAAGCAGGTCTTTATCGTTGTTGAAATAGCAAATCTGCACATTTTGTGTGATTCAAAATATTTGTAATAAAACTGCTACTAAATATATAAGCATGGCGTTGGTCCTCACATCACAATTTTTTCTGAGGAGTGAAGGAAAGGATCATACCCAGCAGTACAGCTCTGGGGAGTTTTGCCCATGATGATAGAGTATTTTGGAGGGAAAGAGGAAGAAGGAGGGGGAAGCAATTGTAAAACCGAGGGAGACAGGATATGGGGCTCCATTTGCTAAGGGAAAAACAGCTGGAAATACACTGTGGTTATTATAGAAAATAAGAAAGTTCCTTGGAAATTAAATTTAGGGAAGATGAAATTGAAAGCAAGAGGAAATGAAAAGTCTCTCTGGTTTAAAGAAAGCACATTTAAGAAAAAGTGAAGTAATGGTAAACATTTTTCAGATACCTCTATGGCGTTCTTGTTTTGTGAATGACCAGTTCTTCTCCTTTATTCATCTTTCTATTATAGTGTTCATCTTTTTTATTGACTGGTAAGCACTCTTTGTGTATTCTGGCTATTAACCTTTATTTCTGAAGTATGCATTACAAGTGGAGCTCCTATTTGTCAATCTTGTTTGTGATAAGCATTATTTTCCTATGGAGGAATTTTTAATTTTTAAAAAGTCAAAACTGTCCATTTTTTCCTTCATGCTTTGTGAATTTTTTATTAAGCTCAGAAAGGTCTTTTGTACACCAAGATTATTAAAATCTCACCACTAGTAATTAAAAATGCAAATAAAATGAGATTTAATTTTTTACCTATCAAATCCATTTATTCATTTCTTTAGAAAACATTTTTCAAGTGTCCATTATGTGACAAGTATTGTACTAAGAGCTGAGAATACAGGATTATAGAAAACAGAAAAAAAAATCTCTGCCCTTGTGACATTTACATTCTATTGGATCAAGATAAGCAATAAGATGAATAAGTAAACTGCATAATGTATTAAGGAACAAGTGCTATGAAGTGAAATGAAGCTAGAAAGGAATAGGAATGCTGGAAGGTGAGACAGGTAGCAATTTAAATAGCATGATCAGGACAGATCTAGTTGAGTGAGCCATGCTGATACCTGGGAGGCAGTGATCTGGACCAAGCTGTTTGGTATGCTACAGAAACGGTTGGGAAGCCCATGTGGCCAGAGGGGTGTGGGAAACAAGAGTAAGCATGGAAATAGGTTACAGTAGTAAGCAGTAAGCATAAGTAGTAATAGGTGGAGAAGTAGTCACCTAGACCATCAGCTATGGCCTATGGGCCATTGTAGGGATTCAGGCTCTTACTCCAAGTAACGTGGGGTAGCTCTGGAGGGTCTTGACTACAGATATTATCTTACAAATTATTAGAATCAGTCTGGCTTCCCTGCTGAGAATAGATTATTCTAGAAGTAGGTCAATATGAGGGGATTAGTGCAATAATCCAGGTGAGAGATGAAGGTGACGTAGCTCTGTGGTAACAGGGAATCGGAAGTGAATGACACCTGCAAGAAAGATAAGAATCAAGGATGGCATCAAGATCTTCAGCCTGGCCAACTGGAAGGACAGAGTGGCCATTAACTGTGAAGGAAAGGCTGCAAGTGAAGTAGATTTGGGGGAAGGGGAACATCAGGGAGAGGTTGAGGGGTCTTGTTTTGGATACATCGGCTTTAAGATACTCACTAGGAATGCAAGTTGAGATGGCGGATAGCGAGAGCAACAAGGCAGATTTCCAAAGCACTTTTCCATCTGTGAGCTGGAGATGTCCATTTACAAATCCTGAGAATATAGGTGGAATTTAAAGCCATGAGACTGAATGAGATGACCATGAGACTGGCAAACATTAAGAATATTGATGGCCGGGCGTGGTGGCTCACACCTGTAATCCTAGCACTTTGGGAAACTGAGGCAGGAGGATTGCTTAAGCCAAGGAGTTTGAGGCCAGCCTGAGCAACAGAGTGAGACCCCATCTTCTAATATATATATATATATTAGATACATATATTAGATATATTAGATATGTATCTTTTACATATATATGTAAAAGAATATTGACAATACCAAATATTGATAACTGTACAAGAAAATGCACATTCTCGGCCGGGCGCGGTGGCTCAAGCCTGTAATCCCAGCACTTTGGGAGGCCGAGACGGGCGGATCACGAGGTCAGGAGTTCGAGACGATCCCGGCTAACACGGTGAAACCCCGTCTCTACTAAAAAATACAAAAAACTAGCCGGGCGAGGTGGCGGGCGCCTGTAGTCCCAGCTACTCGGGAGGCTGAGGCAGGAGAATGGCGTAAAAACCCGGGAGGCAGAGCTTGCAGTGAGCTGAGATCCGGCCACTGCACTCCAGCCTGGGCAACACAGCGAGACTCCGTCTCAAAAAAAAAAAAAAAAGAAAATGCACATTCTCATATGCTTTCCATCTGAAGAATAACTGTTCCGAAAAGCAGTTAGCAACATGTATCACAATTAAAACATGCATAACTTTGACCCAGCAATTCCATTTCCAGGAATTCATTTTAAGAAAGGAACTAAACAGGTGAGTAAAAATAAGGATCCTCATGTCATTAATTATTATAGTGAAAAGCTTGAAACAACCTGAAGTTCCAACAAATGGGAGTTTGTTATTACAGTACATAATTACTATTATATGGCCATTTCAACCAACAGTGTAAAGATTTGTATTCACATGTGCTGTGGTATCTGTAATTTACTAAATACTTCAGCAAATATAGTGTGATATAGATTACGTGGTTGTTGTGACTTTTTCTTTACAGTTTAGGCTACACCCTAGGAGGAGACAATTGTTCTAATCAGAACTCCACACCCTGGGGCAGTCAGCTAGCATTTTATCAAAAAGGCCACACTCCAGAGGCGATTACTAAAAGCCCTTCTGTAATCCACATCTCTAATCAACAAGAAAGGTTTTGCTAATTAGCATACTGAATTTCAGAAATGGGTTTTCATAGGAGAAATTAATGGTTGTTAATGAACATAATGGATATTAGAAACGGGCAATCATTGGTGAAATTTGTGGAACTCAAGATCTGTAAAGTGGCTAAAATGTTTCAGAGACGCTTCCTCCTCTTGAATGAACATCATAAAAAAAAAGAAAAGAAAGTCTTTAGAGAGTCGCGAGGCCTGCATTTTCAGGGTTGATCCCAAAAGAGTCCTGCATTCAGCCATCAGTGTAAAGACTTCCGGTTGCCTATTCCCAGCTCTAAGGGTAAGCGAATCTTGTTTGAGCTATAGGGTTTGCCCCAAGTGAACCTTTCGATGAAGTTATGGTTACAGCCCCCAAGAGGAAAACTTACAGGACTTCAATGAATTTATGAAACAGGTTAAATATATTGTTTTGCTAATGGTTGTTTCTTTATTGAATATCTGCCTACGTGGTAGAATTAGTTCTGAGATCCACTTTCATTACAACCCGGGAGTAAGATCGTGAGAAGTAGATAACACTCACCCCTTTTCTCTTTTCACCTGACTATTCCTTTTAACCCAGAACCAAGGGTTGTGCATGACTCAGGCTGCAAGGGGGACGACTCAGAAACAGATGTAAGACAAGACAAACACCATCTTCCCCAAGTATTCCAGAGGATGAGGATCTTGAGACAGGAAAGGAAAAGGCTGATATTTGGGTTATATTTTTATAATCAGGAAAAAAAAAAAGCTAAAATTTGTCTTTCAAAAAGGAAAGTAAAAATAGAACGGGAGGGAGGAGAGATGCATGAGAAAATATTCAGGGAATTCCATCAATGTAAACTACCAGCTGGGAATTGATATTTCACCCCTATTCTTGCCTTCAGTGCTTCCCCCCCACCCCCTGCCCCACCAACAGTAGGATTTGGGACCTAGATTACCTAGAAAATTGCTTCTCCTTTTTTTCACTCTGTCAGAGTTCATCATCATGTCATAAGTGAATAAATACGTTTGAGTAGGCACAAACTTTGAAATATTTACCCTATCCATTTCTCTTTTCCTCTCCCCAAAGGCAGTCAACAGTATTTAGTTTATTTCCTACCATTTGTTTTAAGTAGGAAGATGTTATTTTTGGTTGTTCAAATTACTGTCATTTTACATTGATTCCCGATGCTGCCTTTCCGCCTTCCTGTCTCTCTTCCACTTTATAAAGTAGTCCCTGATTTATTTCCCTACACCCTCTTTTCTACTTCCCTCTCTGTTGCTTTCTTCTCCTTTCTACATCTCTCTCTTCTTATTCCTATTGTCTAGCAATCCAGGTACCCAGAGAAGACAACAGTAACTTAAGATACAGCCTGGTGAGAAGATGTCCTGAGAGAATTTCATAGAGTGATTAGTACATCCCAACATGAAAGGGCACGTTTTTATAAACCCACGTTTTATAAAAACTTGTCTTCAATGAAGACTGGAAAAAATAATAACCAAATGGTAAAGTTTTCCAAAATCTTTTTTTTCTGGTTTTAAAAAGGCAGACTAGGCCGGGCGCGGTGGCTCAAGCCTGTAATCCCAGCACTTTGGGAGGCCGAGACGGGCGGATCACGAGGTCAGGAGATCGAGACCATCCTGGCTAACACGGTGAAACCCCGTCTCTACTAAAAAATACAAAAAACTAGCCGGGCGAGGTGGCGGGCGCCTGTAGTCCCAGCTACTCGGGAGGCTGAGGCAGGAGAATGGCGTAAACCCGGGAGGCGGAGCTTGCAGTGAGCCGAGATCGCGCCACTGCACTCCAGCCTGGGTGACAGAGCCAGACTCCGTCTCAAAAATAAAAAATAAAAATAAAAAAAATAATAATAAATAAAATAAAATAAAAAAATAAAAAGGCAGACTAGAAACAGATGTAAGTTAGGAAGGCTAAATCACAAAACCCAAGAATGCAAGCCTTACAGAATTCTGATAAGAATGTCAAGTGCTCTTCAAACAGCACTTTAAAAAAAAAAATACTATTTGACTTTAAACTCACCCATCTCTGTCTGGATGAACATATGTTACCACACAGATTATTCCCCTTTGAAAATACCCACTGCCATACAAACCAGCAGGAAAAGGGAAATTTCCGGCAGGAGGTAGGCAATAAGACATGAGAGCTCTGGCCCTTTTAACTGCTGTTAAGTAGCTGGCTGTTTCCTTTCCTTAACCCCTCTCTCCCGCTCCTGCTGCTATGACTGTTGTTTCTGCTTTGCAAGGACATGTCATTTTACTTACTACTCTCTCTCCCCCTTCTTAATTGGCCTGCAGTAAAAATACAAATTGCACCATTGTACTTTATTATAAGGCATTTGATGGGCCCCAAACTGCCTCATAAGTACTGCCTAGAGGGTATTAATCAGACCTGCTGACTCTACTAAGCACCCACTTTTATATGTTGACCCCTAGATGAGGCCAGTGGGTGGTAACTCTACCCCCTCCCACGGGAGCATTTACCTGGTCCCTGCCTCTCCATTAGCAAAGGCACAACTGAAAGGTGTGGCGCCCGTCCTGCAGCAGCCAAGTACACAGCCCAAATCTCTCCTCTGCACATTAGCTTTAATGCCTATTGTACTTTATGGACATGAAAAGTCTGCCTCATTTGTCCCCCTCTCTCTAGGTACTAGAGCATAAAGCGAATGTCTGAATTTTAAAACAGCAGCTAAGGTTCACAATCTTCTGTCAAGTCTCATGGCTTGGTAAAGACAGCCTGTTTCTTGGAAGTAAAATCAAGGAAAATTGTTGTTCCCAAAAAGGGTGTTGAAAGAGCAAGGTTCCCGCTAGACAAGAATAGGGTGACGGCTCCAGGGGTTATTGTTTGCTGTGCTGGTCCCACTCAGTACATATCACTGTATGTTTCAGTAGCAAATGCTTGTTGAAGATCTGCTTATGTTGTAATGACGATAAAGGTCTGTTGTGAGATTTCAGTTTCACAAAGCTCTATTCTTTGCGTAAGCCTCACCACCAATTTTCTGCTGTCAGATACCTTGGAATTCACATCATTTGTGTGCTCTGAAACATTAAAATGGAAAAAATGGTAAAAATTTTTCAATGTAAATAAAAAGCAAAATGGTGGAACAAACTGATTATGGCCTAATCGCTGTCTTAACTTATTCATTCAGTAGCTTTTAAGAAGTGCATCTATACCTCTATGCCAGAAACTATGTGCCTCATTGATTACTGAATATGTTGGTATATACTTACAATTCAGTGTGGAATATGGTGGAACTTCCATCTTACATTTAACTGTGGGGAAAAGAAAGAGATCACACTGTTACTGTGTCTATGTAGAAAGAAGTAGACATAAGAGACTCCATTTTGTTCTGTACTAAGAAAAATTCTTCTGCCTAGAGATACTGTTAATATGTAACCCTACCCCCAACCCTGTCCTTGCAGAGACATGTGCTATGTCTACTCAAGGTTTAATGGGTTTGGGGCTGTGCAGGGTGTGCTTTGTTAAACAAGTGCCTGAAGGCAGTATGCTTGTGAAAAGTCATCACCATTCTCTAATCTCAAGTACCCAGGGACACAAACACTGCGGAAAGCCACAGGGACCTCTGCCTAGGAAAGCTAGGTATTGTCCAAGGTTTCTCCCCATGTGATAGTCTGAAATATGGCCTTGTGGGAAGGGAAAAATCTGATCGTCCCCAAGTCCGACACCCGTAAAGGGTCTGCGCTGAGGAGGATTAGTAAAAGAGGAAAGAAGGCCTCTTAGCAGTTGAGATAGAAAAAGGCATCTGTCTCCTGCCTGTCCTTGGGCAATGGAATTTCTCAGTGTAAAACCCGATTGTATGTTCTATTTACCGAGATAGGAGAAAACTGCCTAGGGCTGGAGGTGGGACGTGCCACTAGCACGCAATGCTGCTCTTTATGCACTGAAAATGTTTATGGAGATGTTTGCATATACGCACATCAAAGCACAGCACTTTTCCTTAAACTTATTCATGACACAAAGATCTTTATTCATACGTCTTGCTGACCTCCCTACTATGACCCTATTGTCCTGCCACTTCCCCCTCTCCGAGATGGTAAAGATAATGATCAATGAATACTGAAGGAACTCAGAGACCAGTGCCTGGCGGTTCCTCTGTATGCTGAGCGCCAGTCCCCTGGGCCCACTTTTCTTTCTCTATACTTTGTGTCTCTTTCTTTTCTCAAGTCTCTCATTCCACCTGACAAGAAATGCCCACAGGTGTGGAGGGGCAGGCCACCCCTTCATTTAATTTAATGTAATACATCATTTATGGTTTCCTCTAAGGTTCTAGTTTTTCTGCCCCATATCATTTATTCAACATCTCTACATTTTTGTTTACAAATGTTCATGAGTTCCAAGATTTTGTGGCCATAATGATTCTTCAGAAGGCCATTTCAGCTCCAAAGAATGATTTCAACAGTAATGCCTTCAATGGAGTAATTATCAGATTAAGGGAATTCCCAACATAGCCCTAGCCTTCTGATGTTATTGTGGTTTCTGTTTACGTCTCAGAAGCACACACATCACTTGTAGATGTCTCAGTCTCCTTCATTCGGGGTTCCTGCAAATCAATCAACATTCATTCGGCAAACTGGAGATTTCATGTCCAGTTTCTTTCAGGAAAATTGCTCCTCTCAGGCAATAAGCTCATAGACCAAAGACCTGGGCACAGAACTCAGGAAGCACCAATATTCAAACCCACTAAGAGAACGAGAAGGAGCAGTGAGAAGGACTGAAAGCAAAACAGGACACAAAGAAAAGGACATCACAGAAGCCAAAAAAATAAAGAGACAAAGAGGATACGTTTCTGTGAGGAAGACATGCTGGAGGACCAAGAGAATAATAAAGAATGGACTCTCACCAAAACAAGGGAGACTCCACAGAAAACAGACAGGGTGACACTCAGTGGCCATGCGTTGGACAGGTGAGCTGGTAAACTATTTGAGGGGCAGATTCTATGACTGTTATTTCCCTTATAATTATCCTAACACCTAGCACAATGCTACATAAATAGATGGATAGGTAGCCCCATAGACGCTAGATAGAATATGTAATAAATAGTAGTTTCCATGTGTATATGTGTACATGTGTGTGTGTGTATATATATGTATATGTGTGTGTGTGTGTGTATATATATGTATATATATTTTTAAATTTTTGTAGAGATGGGGTTTTCCTACATTGCCCAGGCTGGTCTTGAACCCCTGGCCTCAAGTGATCCTCGCACCTCAGCCTCCCAAAGTGCTGGGACTACAGACATGAGCCACCAAACCCAGCCCTATTTTTCCACCTGAAGCACAGGAAATGACATCCAAAACACAGCACACAGAGAGGACGCTGTCAGTAGGAACCTTGGTAAAATTTTATGTTGTTTTGTTTCTTTAGGAGGCAGTGTGGAACAGAGAAAAGTTGAGTGGCAGCAAGTTAAGAGAGCAAGATTTGAGCTCTGACCCTCACTGACTAACCAATGACTAACTGTATAACCCTCAGCTAATCCCACCACCTCCCTGGGCCTCAGTCACTATCATAGTACAATTAGGGGAGTGGGCTCTGTGATACTTTTTCCAACTACAAAATGTTGTACAAAGCATCCATACTGCTCTCCCACTTGAAGGCTTATCCTTTACCCATCCATGCAAATATTTTTCCCTAGCTCTCAAGTCCTTCAGACCCATTATACTATGCTCTGGCTGTACCTAATTCTTGCACATAAGCTCATCCTTCTAGAAATGCCCATTTGCTTCAAACCTTCATTCCTGCAGTGTAGCCAGCCTCAGCTGAGCATTATAAGGGAAGTAACAGATTATTTAGTTGACTATATTCTCACCCACTAAATTGGGCTAGTGTGCATAATATGTCCTCCATTTGCCCCTCTGCATGCATTATCCTTTACTCAGAGCTCCTGTACCTTCTGGCCAATGGGAAGCCGGACAGGAAATCGGAGGAAGGAGAAAAGGAAAACAAGGTTGGGGCATGTATTTCCCTGGCTGCTTCCTTGTGAGGTTTCCTGGAGATGACCTGTTCCTTTATTAGAGGTAACCGTCCTCTCTTAGGAATCACGCTCTACCGGGCTTTCCTTTTACAGTTTGGTAACTGGGTTTGGTAACCTGGTTTAGTAACCTCTTGCTCCCTATCCCCTTTCATCTCAGGAGTGGTAAGAGCTCAATTGTTCTGACTCCCTTTACCTCCCTACAAAATCTGAAAGACTGATCCTTGGTCTATACCAATCCAAACCTTGGTCAGATTTTATTTACTATAATTAAAACCAAATCTAAACACATGAATTTAGGACTAATTTACCCAAATCATATTATTCTCTCCAAAATACATGTCCTGCAAACACAATATGTATTGTTTGTTCCACCTATTTTGAATTAATTGATTTTAAATTAGCCCTCAAAGAAAAGGCACCCATTTACCACTCAGGAGAAGCTTCTATTATAACGTGAGCACCTCAAAGTAGGCAGCATCAGGCAATGTTACTCGACCTCCTTGAATTCCCAAAAAAGGAATGGCCAGACTGAGCAAGGAAAGGGGCATGGAGCCAGTTGGATGTAGCCATCCACTTAATATATTCTAACTCCAGTAGAAGTGGCCTTCGAGGAAGTTGCACCACCTACTTGACATGTCTTTTTATATGGTGTGTTACAAGGGATTTTTTTTTTTCTTGACCTGATTTTGTAATCACTTTGCTTAACAAGCACCATATTTGGAAGTCTGGGGTTTCTATTCCACAGTAGCTCCTGAAAATAGAGATGTTCTTCTTATTCAGATACAGGCAATGTCTAATTCCTACCTCTGAATAGTCTAGGTTAATTGCCTCACTTAATATCCTACAGCAGCAAATTCTACAGCCTAACTCAATGTTTCACTAGAAAAAAAAACCCTTTGTGTGAAATCGGGTCTTTAAGTTAGGCTGAGCCTGGGGAAGAAGTAAGTAGGTGTTAGCATTCACCTCTCCCCCAAATAAATGTTACCTTGATTAGCAGCCTCTAGAGAAAAAGTGCAAGCACATCTCACTCTCCTCTTCATGAAGCCAATCCAACATGTATGTATCATCAAGTAAAAGTTGGCTCTGTGAAGCACTTACAGAGAGGCTTGTATTTCTGTGTATAAATCACATCTCTTCCCTGTGACAAGTCGTGTCCAGGCAAAGCTTATTACAAATTCAGTTTGAAATCTCGAGAAGGAATAGGAAAAAAATAACAACAGCTTTATGGAGCTATGCTCAGGAAATGACTTGAACTCATCCCAATTTTGAAGCTCCATTCTATACAGCAAGCAGCTAAAACCCCATTTTCTGGGGAACTGCCCTTACAGGGAAGGTGTGGCAAAGCCATCTGCTGCTTTATAGTGGTTTTCAGCCTTGTTTTTCTGGTCCAGCTATGAAATTGTACTAATCACAGAAACAGACTGTTTGGCCAGGAAGCGGTGTATGCCAGATACAAGTGAATTTAAGCCCACATGTATTGAAGCTGCAAGCTTAGTTTGCAATTTATGTGCAAGTGGTTTTGTATTTATTGATCTGGATCGAGTGCAGGTCCTATAGGGGAAATATGACAGATTTCATCTGTCTGACAGCCAAGTCTAATTGTATTTTCAGTCTAAAATGACCAAAGACAAAAGTGCACATGTCGAGAGTCTTCACTCTGGTGCCATATGGAGTATTAGATACAGGGCTGTGGTCACTGTAAGTGTTCATTTTAATAACTAGACACAGGCTGCATCCTGAACAGCTAAAGCAAGAGAGGTGAGAGTTTTTTATTCAAATCTGAATTAATAGACCGTCTGATTCTGCCTGAATGTGGGTGGGCCTTTTTAAAGACTGCCTTTTATAGACATGATTGGGGGGAATTTAAAAGATGTGTCATATATTATTGATTCATCTGGACCATGAAACTTCTAAGCCAAAAGTCAAATACTTCCCACAACGGTTGTCGCTAAAATTATAGCCAATACTTCTGGGAAGGCCCACATCTTAAAAATCTTCTATTTCTCTCTCTCTTTCTCTCTTGATATCCCTGTGTCCCTCTTTCACTCTAGGGACCTTTGTGATTACATCGGGCCCCACCTAGATAATCTAGGATTGTCTCCGCATCTCAAGATTCTTAGACTGAATCACTTCTACAAAGTTCCTTTTGCCATGTAGGGTAACATATTCACAGTTTTCAGGGATTAGCATGTAGAAATTTAGGGGTGTAGGACTGCATTCTTCACCTACTGTACCTACCCTGCCAGTCTTATTTCATAAAATTATCTCCTACTTTTCCAT